TATTTCCAAGATCCTGTAATACATACACAATATAATTAAAATATCAAAACAATATCTGAGACAGCACCAATATTATCCACGCACACTGTATTTTTAGGTTTAGTTTGAAAGTTAAATTTTCAAGTACATAAAGGAATAGTAAAAACAACTTCAATTGAAAACTTATATTTTTGTTTTATAAAATAACTAGACACTAGTATAATTTCCAGGTAGAGTTCTACCTGGTATATGTACTTGACATCTACTTTTATAGTAAAACACTTACTTATTCGGTGCATACTTGAGAGTTAGATTATAACCTAACCCTATCGACGGCCGCTTTGCTTGGATTAGCCAAATAAACAAGCAGGTACGTTGCAGTTCAATTTTGTGGTTCAACTTACCTATAGGACTTAGTTTTTTAGCTATACCGACATTTTTATCAACAAGAAGGGCCTTTAATAATTCTAGAACCGTATGTCCCATTATCAGACCTATCCATTTGCATAGGGCTGTAAGTCAATATAAATTCTAATACAAATAGTCTTGGCGGGAAAGAAGGAAATTTTAAATATATTTTATGAATTTAAAAGACTTTTCAGTTAAATCTTCTCCGAAATGTAATAAAAATATACAACTCAAGTGTTGACGCAATGCACAACGGTCAAACAAACTTGAATTACTTTTAGAAATAAACGATGTTAACCAATTGGCTATTTTCTAATACCTGTTTTCTAGTGTAAGAAAATCTACGATTGTTTTCACGATTGATGTATTTACTGATTTACATTAAACTAGGCCAGAAACACCTATTATTGTTGTGTTTTATAGGTGAAAAATAAAATAAACAGAGCTTCATTTCCAAGCAAATTTTAAACACGGCAAGTACATAATATATTCAGTTTCTTCAAGTACAATATTTGCAAAAAATATTATAGTACTTTTGTGTGTCGTATGTATTGTTGAGATACCGTCGCAGACTTGGGAGAGACAAGCAGAGATAACAGAGACATCCTCAGGTCCATCGAAGAAAATTTCGACGGTTATAATATGTTCTCTAAAATTTAGCAATACTTAAAAGCTTCTAATATACTTATTGCAATAAAACATAAACGGTTACATCATATTTTAGAAAGAGACTGTTATGATTATTGTATGGATAATATTGTAGGTTAGGTTTTATTCAGCTGTGAGTGCTAAACAAATCTTAAAAAATAATATCAAACATTTTAATGTAAAATTAAAAATACTATAAAGTAAAAAATAATTTTTTTCTACTAGAAAAAATTACCGATGTGGCACATTTTATTTAAAATGTCAATTACATTGAAAACAACCGAAAATTAACTACAATTATTTTAAAATACGATGTTAAACATCTTTAATTTTTGACTAAAAAGAAAAGCGTCTCTACAAAGTCCAAATTATGAAATGAGTTAAGTATTATGAAATGTATGTGTCACACGCTAATATTGAACCAAATTTAAATTATAAAACATTATATTTCGATAAATGTATGAGGGACTTTGTTGAATAGGTCCCACCAAACTTTTCCATGCTGCATGTTATACTTGAATATTAAAAGCAGCTTTAGAGCTATTAATAAAGATATTAATTGAAACTATTTTGCTAAAACTATTATTCTATAAAAAAAAATTATTATAAATTTCCATTTCAATTTGTAGTTTTACAGTAAAAACATTTATTATCAAATCTGAACTACATTTTTTCGAAATTTTATTCAGTTCTGAAGAATAGCTATTTTCACAATTATAAAATGTAGGTTTTTATTCTCGAAATATTAGAAAATACTCAGTACTCAGAAATATTGCATTTTATGTATTTTACATTGATGTTTTTGGTCTAAACCTAACATGGATCTAGAAAAACAGGTTCAAAAAGTCCAACGGCCAAACGTTATAGCAAATAAATATTATTGTTTTATTTTCTAGAACTATGCTTTGCTTACTATATATATGTATCAGCTTATAAATAACTTACCATGTGCCGAGTTAAATAAGGTAATAGTTTTTAAATGTTACTTAAAAGGATCTTTTAAAAATATTACATTATAAGAACTCTTTGTTTGGATATATACTACAATGGTGCACATTTTATAGATTTCTTGGACGACCAGTTCTCTAGCATAATTAAACAATTTACTTTTATTAAACTCTATGAGATTTTGAGTGGCTCACGATAAAATGGTCATGTATATTGTTTGTACAATATCCGACAGACGTTGTAAGCCATTCTGTTATAAAAGTAAAGTAAATTGAACGTATTTTGGTTGAAAAAAACTGCTCTAAATCGCTTTTGTTTGGATTTCGAATTTTGAACTGAAGCTTTCCGTAAAATAGTGCTTTCCTTTTCAATATATTATGTATTGTACGATATTAAGTATGCATGATGATCTATTTTATCAAATAGAATGATTATAATTTTTCTTTCGAAATTTAAGACTTATGATTTTCAATTTAAGTATCAAAAACATAACACAAGTCTTGGTCGATTGGACAAACAATGTCTGAATAACTTGATAAAAAAACCATTTGAAATATAATATATTTTTTTCATGTATACACGTTTCTCACATTGTATCATTGTAACATCTTAAATTAAAATTTGTAAGCCCACGCGCACAGGTGCACATTTAATGCACGCTATTTAATTACACACATTTAATATAAAAACCAAACCAATCGCTTGAGTTCTAAACGGCATTATAATTTTTTTATAAAATACCATATTCGCTTCGTGCGATTTTTTATTATATTTTACATAATGGCGTCGTTTTGCAAATAGCTGGCCGTTTTACCTGATACCAAAAATATGTTATTAATAAATAAAATCATCGTTTTTATAATATATATTATAAAATATATATATATATTTAAATTGTATGAGTATCATAAGAAAACCTGTTTGATTGTTTCATTAGAGAGAAACCATTGTCTTAAAGTAAAGTACCAAATGTAGTAATTCCAAAAGATATTTTTGTTATAAATTGGATACATTGCCACATGAATCGTGGAATATGCTGTAGTTAATGTTAAAAGTTGTTAAAAATTGTTGAAATAGCAGTAAATAATTTCTATTCGCATTAGCCCCAGCGTTGAACAAAAATACTTAAATAAAATTAAATACTTAATAAGGACACTTCGCCCTGTCAACCTACATTAGTTACTATACTACTGTGTGTATTACATATTATTATATTCTTATTGTTCTACACTATAACAGATTGTTTTAATAAAAATTATATAAACAAAAAAATTAGATATTTTTTGAGAATATTGTAAATTGTATAGCTTCACCGCCAATCACAAGTACAACAACTAAAAAACAGTCCATACAAGATTGGTATCATTCCAGTTTGGGTAACACGAAGAGTTCAATCTCCAATTGCACCCATAATCGAATTGGTCTTACAGAAAGAGGAGGTTCTGAATAGGTCATATGAATTAGGCGTCTTAACCGTATAAACAGGCTATTCTTAAGCTATAATTAAATGACAAAACGTGACAGGTGGCTTGTGGTGAGTGGCTAGTGGCTAGTGGTAAATAATAAAAAATTAAAGATAGTATATATTCATTAAAATATGTAAAAAATAAGGAATAAGAAACGATAATAATACGATTTAGAAAAAAAAATGTTGCATTATTGCAAACACATAAGCCCACATTTTGAGGTAAACATAAATTGCATTTAAGTATTTTTTAATATTTTCAATTATGTACGATGTTATGAGTAAATACGATGAAAACCATAAAAATAAATAAATAATTATAAAAAGTATACCTATTCATAAGTACTATGGTGAAGTCAAACAACTTTGGTAATGTGGATGTTATAGCAAGTAACAAAATCTTAGTCTTAGTGAATCATAACAAACCTGGATGAATATTATAATGTAAAAATTAAAAAAAAAATGATTTTCTCGACCCGATTTAATAAAGGCTATCCCACAAAGATTCGACAAATAAAATCATTTTTTTTTTTTAGTGAATACTTCTACGAGTGTTTTAACCAACTTATTAATTTATACTAATTTGCGCTTAAAACACCACGTTTTTTATGGCAGTTAACTTTTTTACTTTAAATTCAAGATTTTAATATAGCCATTTTAATAAGAATAATTTGCTGATAAATTTGACTGATCGATTGTCAGTTTTGGATAATTACTTTCTATGTTATTAAATGTTAACGGGACGAGGAAGGCGGTAGAGTTACAGTATCTGCACCCATACTCTACCGCACTCTACCTCCCATCCTACACTTAAAACTTAAATGACATTAAAAGGGACACCCTTTATAATAACCGACTTTCGGCTATATTGTATTGATTTTAATATGCACACACCAGGATATCCAGTGAACATGTTAAATCATTTTTCATAAGTATTGTAACGAGTGAGTACTATTAGTTATTGTCCTGTACATAAGGAACTATTAACATGTCCATCACAGTTTCATTTTTGTCGATCGACTTGCCCTATGGGACATTGGCTTATACTCTATACCAAAATTTGTACCAACAAGAATGGTCTCTAATAATTCTAAGACCGTTTTCCATTATCGGACCTAACTATTGCCACAGGGCTGTAAGTTAATAAACTTTCTCTTGATAGGAAAGGAGGTGTGGTTTTTATGAATTCAAAAGACTTTTTCAATTTAATCTTCTCCTAAAAAAAAATACCGTACATATTTTTCTGTTTAAAGCTAACTGTGTTAGGGCTTTATAAAATGTACATTTTCTTAGTGGACAATATGCTGTTATTCTTTATCTTTCTATATTTTAAACAATAATTGCAGTCTTTAACTGATACATTCGTGTAAATAATCTTAGTAAGTTCCAATGACGCACGAACCTAAAACAAACAGATACGTTATTTTTAATAAGAAACCATTTTTTTTCAAGCGCTGACGCACAGCACAAGACTCAACCGAATCCGAATCACTTGTACAAATAATCGATGTTTACTAATAGGCTGTTCTCTAGTGCAAGAGAATTTTATGACTGTTTTTCACCAATGTTGTACGTACTTTAAACTAGGACAGGTATTATACTTGTTAGTGTAGAACTCGGTGCGAAAAAAATAAAAACCAAAGCTTCATTCACAAGCAGCATTTCTTATACACGACACGTACATATTTTTATCATCACAATGCTTTTGAAAACTATTATAATGCTTTTGTTTGGCTTATGTATATGTGTTGACAATATGAACTTTTTTAAATCAAAGGTGTTTCGGAGAAAAAGATTTTGGAAAAAACCAGTGCCCGCAGCTACGACAGCCGACATTTCATCAAGGGTATGTTCTATAAAATTTAGCAATATTTAAAAGCTTCCAGTAAACCTGTTGCAATACAAATGTATAAGATTAGGTATTGTATAGTATTATATTACGAACTTTGAGTGTATTTGCCATGAGTATTTTCTAAAACTGCATTCACAGAGCAATAATATATTTTCACTCATACATGATATATAATTTGTGATATCACAAACATTTTTTCAACCATCCTCTTGCGTGTCTTTTGAATTACTGTTATTACAGTATGGATCATATTGTAAGTTAGGTTCATAAAAATGTATTTAGTTTTCACCAATAATAAAGAAACAGCGGCATAAAGATTTTTGTTTTTGGTTGTCTCATACGAAACGTTTGTTATTACTATACTTAAGAAGGCTTAAAAGGCATTATTGTAATATGATTATTTTTGGATACTGACTATTATCCAACGCGTGCTACTACAAAGATACCTAGACAATTTCAAACAAATATATAAATTACTAATACACTACAATGAGTTACAGTCATTACCAATCTTATAGTAATAATTATATAAAAAAATAACTAAACGTATAATTTTGGTATTTTTTACAGATACCGGAAACTTCTACTGCCGCGGAGGTATGTACTTATGTTCAGAAATATTTTAATGTAATATTGTTTTTTCTTCTCTCGTCCAGAACTTCCCAATTACTAAGTTTAAAATTCATTATGATAATATGATTATTTTTAAATATACTAATAATGTTGTACTATCGATGAAATATATTTATTATTCCGAAACTCTTAAAATTTCCAAATTATTATTCACAAACATAAATACTAAAACTAATTTACTACAATGGGTTACAATCATTACCAATCTCATAGTAATAATTATATAAAAAAATAACTAAACGTATAATTTTGGTATTTTTTACAGACGACGGAAACTTCTACTGCCACGGAGGTATGTACTTAAAGTTCAGAAATATTTTAATGTAATATTGTTTTTTCTTCTCTCGTCCAGAACTTCCCAATTACTAAGTTTAAAATTCATTATGATAATATGATTATTTTTAAATATACTAATAATGTTGTACTATCGATGAAATATATTTATTATTCCGAAACTCTTAAAATTTCCAAATTATTATTCACAAACATAAATACTTAAACTAATTTACTACAATGGGTTACAATCATTACCAATCTCATAGTAATAATTATATAAAAAAATAACTAAACGTATAATTTTGGTATTTTTTACAGACGACGGAAACTTCTACTGCCACGGAGGTATGTACTTAAAGTTCAGAAATATTTTAATGTAATATTGTTTTTTCTTCTCTCGTCCAGAACTTCCCAATTACTAAGTTTAAAATGCATTATGATAATATGATTATTTTTAAATATACTAATAATGTTGTACTATCAATGAAATGTATATAAATTTCATTACACTATTTATTCTATATGCCTCTATTCGTATAGATCAAAAGAGCTTTTCATTTCTGTTTTATCATTTTTCCCATATTATAATTTCCAAGTTGTGATATTAAGGGGTTTGAATGAGTCTGTAATTTAGAATTAAACGCTGTGTAGTGTTTTATGGCTAATTGGTTTATTGATTACATACCATGGGGCGAAGGAGTGTTGAGTTGGAAGGCTTGCTCCAAATTCGGATTGCATAGGCCCAAATAGACCTTAACAGGGATTTGTATATTATGATCTTAGTATGGAAAGCTAGTTTTGATTTGAGAATTGAGCGTAGTAAATGGAGACTGCTGTTTCCTTTTAGATTTTAAGTGAAAGCCCAAAGTTAATCGTTTGTCAAGCGTGACACCAAGCTGGTTGACATCCGAAGATATCGTTTTGGGTATTCCTTGGAATTGGGAAGGGAGTGGGTCGGATATCGTTTAACGTTTGTAACTAGCAGAAACGCCATTTTTGTGTTTCCCAACATTCTTTTACTTATTATCTTTATCAAGCCGTTTACGAAAAAAAATTGAATTTATTATACTAGGTGGAAGACATTTCATGGCACCCAACATGGGAAGACATATTCAAAAGGTACGATGACGAAAAAAAAGGTTCAATCTCCGATAAGACATTACAGGTGCTAATATTCGAACAATTCAACGGATTCCTTACCGTTCGCCAAGCAAATGAATATATATCTTTGATTACTGCAAAAAGTAATATTAAAAATACACAACAACGTTCTACGTAAAAATCATTCTACAATTGCTATAATTATTTTCAGAAAGCAATCGAATAGACGTCGAACAGTTCAAAAGGTTGAAACCGATAATAGATGTTTTGTCAACGGTTTGTCCAGTTTTATTATTACTCGACTATACAGGGTTATCCGTTTTTACTGTGCAATATTATAAGATTACCAAGTTCCACAAGTTCCCAAAAGGTCCATCAATGGTTGAAACTTCAATATATATATATATATATATATATTATCTAACTAACATTGCGAATAATTTGCTGAACATTTCAGATGGTCAATACACTCACACACAAAAAACCTATAGTTTAACGATACTCTCTAGTTCCATAATTATAGAAGATATGACTATTTTTGCAGTTGCCAGTCGAACTCGCCTTAAACTCTGAGACATCGATAAGATATTATTGACATGATTATATTATTGGGCTGGATACATGTAGTTTTATGTCGCCACTATCATGTCGCCATTTTCGCATTATAATTTTACTTTCAGTAAGAGATAAGATATTAGAGCTAAGTGATAAGAGATAACGTCATATCCATGATTAAAATATGTATTTCCGTGGCGCGGTTTTATTCTTGTGTTATTTTTCTGTATACTGCCATTCCGAAGGTCCCAAATTTCAACCAATATATAAGTTTAAAAAAATCATCAAATACTAAAAATAATAAATAATAATATGTAGTGGCAACTGATGAATTAATATTTTTAAAAAAATTGTTTGAAGGGACTGAAAGCAAGCGGTTTTTAGGGGGGTTCCTTAGGCATTTATTTAAAAGTGTTTTTAATACCAACTAGATACAATTTGTCCAGTATTAAAAAACTTACAGTGTACACAGACACAAAAAAAAGAACACATCATAGTAAACCAATAGTCTCTCAGCTCTGAATGTAAAATATGTCTCATAAATATTTTTTTATCCAAAATCAAATTTAAAATATTATGACTACCGATTGGAGAAAGTTATTTTTCAAACTAGAAAAAATTCGGAGTTAGATTTATTCACTCTAGAGCCTAGATCATACGCCAAATTGGATATGAATATATTTTATCTTTATCACTCATAAAATTTATTTTAAAAACTTACATAGATATGAAGTATTTTTAATTTGTATGAACTTAAGTGAATGCAATGTTAAGAAAAAAAGAAAGTTTAAGCAAGTAAAACTTTAGTAATTTTAGAAGTAACTTTCCAAAACTGGTTATCGATAAGTGAATATTTTCAGCAAATTGTTCTTAACTAAAAAGTTAATTAAATATATAAGTTATCATTTAATTTTAAAAATTTGATGGAGTTCCGGGAAAAATAAAAACTGTAATGTTGTCTACTATTGTAAAACAACATAAACTGAAGAGATTTGAAATCCTGCCGGGGCGCGACTACAGGTCAGCCCACATTTTACTCATTGGTACACTAAAGGTTAAAGGTTAGGTTGGTTTAATGTTGTGAGGTGAAAGAAAGAGCGAACAAGAAAATCAGCTCAAGACAAAGATAGTGGGAATGAGCTTTGTTTGTCAGTGTGATCTTCAAGGCTTTAGGCTAGAAAAAGAAGAAAGAGTCTCGAAAGGAAAAATACTACAAAATTGATGTGTATCACCCACAATGAATCACCCTGCTTACATTTTTTTTTCAACTTAACCTTACCAAAAATGTCATTATTAAATTTCTATATTATGCGCTTTTTATATTGTTGCAGAGAGAAAAAATTCAGGAGAACGAGCAAGCCCCACTAGACTCTATTCCGAAAAGTACTTTCGAGGAAGAAATAGTGGCTGGCTTTTACGTACTGTTCAAAAATAGGAGAGAAATTTCAGAAGTATTCAAACTTGTTGGTCATGACCCTAGTAATAAACTTATTTACCTATTGAAATTCGTTTTAAAATTAACCACCAATTTTTTTTTAGAAACTGATTCGATTAAACCGATACAGTTGGCCCATGTAAAAAATATGTTGATGTCTTCGTTAAGAGTTAGTAGTTATGATTAATAATATTATTTTTACTTTATCAGTATGACTGATCATGCTACTAGGTGGAAAGATGATATTCCGAGCTTTGTCCATAAAAATTGGCAACAACAAACTTTTCACTTTTGCCTAAAACATATTTAGGTATCAAACTTTTTTTGTTATTTTCGTGGTGAATTGTTTTTTTTTCTTTAAATGTTATCTACTTTATAACCCAGCTAAATATTTTAATTCTCAAGGGGTATAAAAAGAGTGGATTAGTGTAAAAATTAAACCTTATCGAATCATTATTACCCAATTTTCGTTATAACTTTTAATATAATGAGTTTTTATTTAATACTTAAGCTGCAGACATTTTATGATGGATTTAAAGAAACCGACAAAAACCACGATGGCTTCGTTGACGCAGAGGAGATGAAGAGTTTACTTGGAGGAGTTGACAAATCATACGATGATTTAAAAGCAGCCGAACAAGCTATCAGGAACCATGATAAAAACGGCAAATACTTAAGCACAGCATTGCAGTTGAAATTGTTATTGATTAATATTTAATTTCTTCCAGGCGACGGTTTGCTTGATGTTGCTGAATATATAGCAGCGGTAAGTGCACCCTTGGACGATGATGAGATCTTCATGCTTGAATTTAATACTCCACGCATAACTAGAGAAAAACTCCAGACACTCGTTAATAATTTATACGGTCAAGAACTTAAAGAAGCAGATTTGGATTTAGTAGATCCTAATCATGAAAATAGTATATCATACCAAGGTATAATATTATTTTTCTAAATCTATGCAATTTTTAGCTTGGATGCGGAGCGGAGAAGTTATTGTGTTTAAAATGATGTCTTTTTTTTGTGTCGGGACCCACGGTATTTTCTTGTTTAATTTAATATTTGGCCTAATAAAGTATCGTTCAGGTAAAAGTTTCTGATCTAAAGAGTAGTTACACAAAGAAATCTCTTCAGTGGTTTATAATATATTGTGGGTTCAGTCTGGACCAACAAACATTTTTTTTTCAAAATTATAACACATAGTTGTAAGTACAATAATTTCTCAACTCCACATCGAAGCCAAAAACTGTTTTATCTAACTTTCAAGAACATATTTACATGTTGAGACTGTGCAATCAATTTAGAAAAGTTACTTTTTTTTATTTAAGGTAAATGTATATGATTTAAATTAAACAAAATGTATATAAAATAATTTTTTATTTTTATTATTGATATAGTCGTGGGGAGGTTTTAAATGGAAGTTAAGGTTTCAAACCACATTATGAAAAATGCATAACGACACAAGTATAGACTAATAAAATTTCATTGAAAAATATTACACAACAAATGTGTACTAACAGTTCTGAATACTATTGTATACAATTGTGACCATAATACCATTAATTGAAACTTTTAATTTTTATTTATTGCAAGACCAAACGTGTTTTTAAAAACTTATATTTGTTTTAGATATGGATCGTTTATGCTTACAAATGAGTCTGCCACGACGTCGGAAAGGAAAAGATCCAGTAGACAATTAGTGCAGATAAACGGTTATAAATAATCAATAGATTATTTTTTTGTTTTGTTTAACTGCTGAAAATGTTTTAAATAAAATACACGTAATAAAGTATATTTTGTTTGTATATTTTTCAATTTTTCTATTATACTTTCATGCATACAAATTGGTCCTTCATATTTTATGTTAATAACTCAAAAAGTTTATAACCAAACCTAATATTAATTTAATATGACTTTATAAGTTCCCTGAAAATACTATTATTTTTAAACTTGGTTACCGAAAGCAATTTTAGAAGATTAATCGTCGAGTCGGCAAGACGTGCGTTAGCTATAGTATATTTTTCAATAGTATTAACCGTGAAACCGCTGTTAAGTACTAAAGAACACATTGGTCACACCTTTCACGACAAAATAAATAATAATTCACGTTGGGTTAATTAATTTTCTTAAGTTTTAAGAACATAATTTTCATATTTTAGGTCTAACTTAACAATGTTTATCTTATTCTTGGCTGCTTACAAGTCATTTAGGTCCATTGCCGCAACTATCAAATGCCTCTATCATTCGTCAATTGTTCTTAATTGTCTACTCCTAACAGTGATAAATCTTCAGCTATCCTGGCCAACCCAATGGTACCTTCTTACCTCCGTACATGCCCAGCCCACCGTTTTTTAGTAGAGTGGTTTTTCCTAAAAGCACGACCAGTATGTTTGTTCGGTTGTCTGGATGAACTGATTGAAATTAGTAGATTTCAACCCGGACGTCTAAGATTTGCATATTTTATGTAGCTAGCTGAACTCGATATGAAGTAAATGAGATCTCAATCTCAAAAGTATTACAAATCATAATGAATATCGCTTGAACACGTCATGTTTGCGGTTATTAGTCGACGTATACCTTATGCCTCATGAGTCTGTTAAGAGCCTTCTTTGGTTATGTTACTGTATGTTTTGTGCCAATTGGGTGAATTTTTTTTAATTTTATCAGAAATTTTTTGTGAACTTTAAACTCATACCCACTCCGGTGTGGACTCTTTCGTGACGTATCGTACAGAATTGTGGCCAGACATGGCAAAGTTTTATGTTAGATTACTTGAAACTATTTTTGTCGCAAAAAATTAATTGCTACGGTTACATTCGCATCATTTAGTTTTGACATGTGCCGAATATTTGTCAGCAGCGTTTTTTTTATGAACGTACTTCTAATATGACCGCTGTCGAATCGCACTTACCATTGCCACATCACCCAAACCGATGGCCATTATAGTTTTTATGTTTCACCGTCATACCGCACACGACGTGACCGAGGTACATAATAATAATATTATTATCGTGGCGTGACCGATAATAATAGCAGAGCACATTTTCAACCGCGGTCCGGTCGGTATTAACGTTGCACGATGATTATTTATTACACAATCGACAAAATAAAAATGAATATATTTTAATATATTATATTAATATGATTCTTGTATAAACGTTAAACGCAACATTTTTTTTTTTGTAAATGGGCGGTATAAAATAATTATTAAACGCGCACGAGTTGTGAGCACAGGGAACCCGAAACGACGTCGCGTGGTTATTTTAGTGTTTTAAAAATAACCATAATTGTTTCTGGGAACTCTTCTGTGGGGTTTCTCCGGTATCGGATAACGCGGTAATACTATTAAAAACCCGGTGGGACACCGGACGGATGAATTTTTCGCTGAAAATATTTTTAATTGACAACTTGTATTCAAATGTCCGTTGACCGTGGTAAGGAAAATTAATTACGAACGCCGTTCGTCGAAATGGAATTTAATAAAAAAAAAAAATAATAATAATAGTAAAAAATCCGTCCAACGAAGATAACGAGGCAAAGCCGGTAATCTCATCGGTTCGGAGCCGGTAATAAATTTGCGTTTTTTATTTTAATATTACAAAGAATTCGGTAGAAAAAATATTATATAAATACACATTATTCTCGTCGAACGGAGAAACTAACGAATTCGAAACTTAGTGTAGGTACGCCTTCATTTGACTTTGAGGCCGTGTCCGTTAGTAAAGTTTGAAATATATTAGTTACGATATACTTAAATGGGTCTAAGGTTTAGCAGCAGTAAAACAGTGTAGAGTATGACTTTGAAGGGGTTGAACAAAAAGACCACTGAGTAAGGTGTGCAACGGGGATAGAAGATGAATAAAGATGGAGAGTTGCAACTTGCAGACTTAAGCATTTAGAATCTGTGGTTTAAAAAAAATGCTGACTTTTAAGAAGATATGAGTAAAATATAGAATGAATGTAGAACCGAAGAGATTTAGTGAAAGGCTAAAAAAAAATGCCGGATCATACTTTAACGCGATAGGAGAAAAGCAAATGTGGGTGACCGAAGATGTGAGACAAAGGCGAGGAAGATTGAGATATCATTTTTTTCCTTGAGTTCCTTTTCCGCCTACACTGGGTCTGTCTTGCTGGTCAAATTTTTCCACTTTTGTCTATTTACTGCATCCTTTCCCACTATCTTCCTCACACTACTATTGCGTCTGCTTGCACCCAATCTATTAATTGCTTTTTTGGTTTTTCTTGATCTGATTTCCATTATCTAGTTGTAACTGTTGGATCCGAAACTTTATAACGTGATCGTCTCATCTATCAGGTAGCAGCAGGTCTCAAAAAATTTAAAAATGTTTACTTTAATTAATTCAAAATTGTTGTGTGACGGCATCTCTATTATTTTGTATAGTAACTACCTAACGTTGCCTGCTAACCTGTATTTTCTCGATCTTTCAGCCAGAACAGATCATTCCACGCGGGTCAGTTCCAAAAAAACAAGTCATGTATTCTGTTTTAACCATGTATCATATTTAAAGTAAAGTGCCCTTCACAATACAGCCCACCATGTTGCAGATCATTTAAGTGATTGACACTTATCTAGATTCTAGATCGTATGTAAAACTCAATGCTTTTATGTCCATTCCAAAGTCAAACAAATAAGTTACAGAGCTTGTGACTAGGTCGACTCTGAAAAACACATATGTATCATTTATAAACCGATACACGAGCCAATATCGGTGTGGTTTATACAAGGAATGATTTGGTATTGAATAATAAGATGCCCCTCCTCCATCTTTGCAATGATCATTGACTGTACAAAACTCGGCTTATCCTTTCCAAATTTTTTATCACATCTGTATGCATGAAATTCCACCTAATATGTGAAACGTGAAACATTTCGAACGGAACCGATGAAAAAAATATGACAACCTGACAAGTATCATAATAATTTATTTTTCAAGAGAACCATTCGCTCCATCAGTGGCATAATATATATTGAAACAATATACGCATGACGTACACGGTATTTTGCTTATACACGAGTTAAATCAATACAGAAATACAGTAGGAATTTTTATTAAGAATGCATTAACAAAGTGTTTTTCGATTATTTTCACCCGAAATTCCGGAACCTAAGCCTCTTACAAAATACAATATTAATCCGGCATAAGTATCAAACTATCAAGTATACCCGTTGAGCTGTTTAATTATTATGAACGCGGTATCGCAACAAAATTAGAATAAGCCCGAGCACGTGCCACTGGATATCGTTATTAAGACTACTCGTTATCTCGAGTGTAAAATCTAAATGAAATCTCTTTGTTTTAATTTTTATTAGATTTTTGTTTTGAATATATTACCTACAGCTCGTCACCCGACAATGCTATCAACTAGGCAATTTGCATAATGTAAACTCGTTATAATTAGTTTTATCGCGGCAGCGAAAAAAAAAAAGAAGATAATAATAATATTAAAATTAAAATAATGATGTCGAAAAACTCTAAAAGAAAATATACAACACGGCGGGAAATTAAGAAACAAATCAACGTCAGAAGAGATCTGAAGTTACCATAGAGAAATGGATGAAAAAAGTACTTCTTCATTAAATTGCAAACCAGGAAATTAAATGTCGAAAACAATTTTTTCTCTTTTTGAGTAAGATGTAATATTATTCAAATTTTTAACTATCAATTAAAATATTTCTTGAAAACGTTATGAAACTTTGAAATCCCGGAAAATTAAAAAATACATGCCCTTAAAAAAAAGAAATAAAAATTAGTTATTTTCTAGCTTTAATTTAAAAACTGCAACCGAAAAAAGAAAAAAACAGTCCACATTTTTCTAGTAAGGCTATTTTATTTAAGTATAAGTATTTTTTCAATTTTAATTTGTTTAATGGTAGTGTTTTATTAAAAGAAAGCGATCAAGAATAAATAAGAATATTTTTAAGACACTTTTCACCTTTTTAAAATCAACTCAGTAAGTCCGGACCCAAAATAAAAATACATCATTATAAAACCAATACCTTCTCAGCTCCGAATTGAAAGGCTGATTATTAACTTAAAGAAAACTATATTTTTATAAATTTGTTTCGCATAAAAAATATTATTAAGACCTTTGTTAGCTTCAGTGTGAAGCAATAAGGTTTTACAATAATGTAACTTTTATTTGTAACATTTTTGAGAATATGTGGTTACTATGTTCAAACCAATTCACTCTAGACTGAGCAAACTATAAACCAGCACAGTAAGTACAGTGTTTACAAATTATCATGAAAATATTTAATTGAAAGTGATTTTATCCTAGTAAGCCAGTACAATGGGGTCAAAGAATAGTGGTGACAGGACTATAGGAATTATTATAAAAAAAAAATGTGATAAAATCAATACAAATTTGAAAAAAATGTTTACACAAATAATAAATTGATGATAAAAGATATGTAACTATTATACTGAATAGTCTAAAGATAAATCTCAATAACACTATGATAACTACTTCTTATATCGTTACAATTACAGCCAAAAACACACTTGCCAAAAATTGTAAAACGTGTAAGCAACGATAATAGTTTACAGCACATGTTTGGAATAAAAGAATATAAACATAACCGTTAAAAGTGCAAAACATTTGAGATTTTTAAAACATTTGTGTACTTATAGCATACGTATTCCATATGCGATATCTTGTATTCAACAAATTGTTCTTAAAAGAATAAACGCTTAAGTCAATAGATTTATTGTTTATTTTAGTAAAATACATAGTTATTGTTGATAGGTAGCCGTACAATTTACAAAAATACCAAATAATTCAG